GGCTTGCTCAGTCTGCTTTCTTATAGAACCCAGGACCACCAGCCCAGGGTTGGTACTGCCCACCATGAGCTGGGCCCTCCCCATCAATCACTAATTAAGAAAATGTCCTACAGCTGGATCTTATGGAGGTGTCTTTTCAACTGAGGCTCCCTCCTCTCTGATGACTCTGCTTGTGTCAAGTTGACATAAAACTAGCCAGCTAGCCGGGCGGCGGTGGCGCACACCTCTAATCCCAGCACTCGGGAGGCAGAGCCAGGTGGATCTCCGTGAGTTCGAGGCCAGCCTGGTCTACAGAGTGAGTTCCAGGACAGGCACCAAAACTACACAGAGAAACCCTATCTCAGGGGGAAAAAAACTAAAAAAACAAACAAACAAACAAACAAAACTAGCCAGCCCACTGCGTGAGGAGAAACCTACCCCAAATGTGGTTGGTACCATCCCACAGGCTAGAGTCACCGGCAGAAGTAAGGCACTGAGCACTTGCACTGGCCTCTGCTCCCCGGCTGTGGACTCTGTCACCCTGCTTCCTTGGTGGACTGCGCCCTCCGCCCAGCAGTCCGAATAGACTCTTGCCCCGTGGATGCCTCCGTCAGGTGTTTTCTCACAGCGGCTAGACGGTAAGAATTAGCAAATGACAAACACGAAATACCCAAGACATCTGTATTCCAGGCAGTAACGAGGGGTGGGGGGGAGGCTGTCAGAGTTCACACTCGCATTGCAAACGTCAGCGGGCATCTTGCTTTTTACACGCAGCTCTCCACGAGGCTCAAACTCGCTCCCCGAGCCGGGCCGGGCACCCCTTTCTTCCGAGACGGCGTGCGGTATCGCAGGCCTGTGTCCCCGGTGTGCCCTGTGCTGGCACCCCATAATCTTCACACTGCCAGTCTAATAGGTCTGAGCTGCTCCTGTTCCAGATGGGGAAACTGAGGCAACTCAATCAGGGCCACGTGAAGCAGGAGCGCTTGAACCCAGTTCTGTTGAGCCTCACAACTGTCAATCAAAAACACAAACCCGGGTCTTAGGCTGGGGGGTGGGGGAGGTGGCTGGTCGGGTAAAGTGTTTGCTGGGAAGCATGAGGGCCTGAGTTCAAATCCCCAGAACCCAGGTAAACAATAGCTTACGTCTCTAACCCAGTGGCCCAACCAAGGTGCGAGGTGGAGGATGGGAAAA